ATTCAGGGCATGGTGGTTTGGGGTTTAGGAAGTTTAGGGGTTTAGGGTTTATGGTCGTTGTGTGTGTGTGTGTGTGTTTGTGTTTGTGTTTGTGTTTGTGTTTGTGTTTGTGTTTGTGTTTGTGTTTGTGTTTGTGTTTCTGTTTGCTTGCTTGCTTGTTTGTTGGTTTGTTTTTTTCATTTGCTCCTTCGTTTGTAGTTTTGTTTGTTTGTGTTTGGTGTCTGTCTGTACCGGCTTGTTTATCTGTCTTTGCTTATTTACTGACTTTGTCTTGTTGCCTTTTGTCGAAAGCATTGCGAATTTGTTTTCTCTGTTGAGGTGGTTTCTGCAGGATCGATCGATGTGTGATGGATGGCCTGATGTGAGGTTTTCGTGCTCGAGTTTGCATTTCCGTCATCTGCAGCCAAAGTTAATGTCCCTTACCGCACGGGGCATGACTAGCGCGAGTGGCCATGAATTCAAAAATGGCGCTGCTTGTGTTGGACCGTGCCGACTCGTGTTCGGAATTGATAACTCTCTCGGTGTTAATTAGTGGCGTGTCCGCATCCTCCAGTCATTGTGATTTGTTGCTAATTCCGTTACCTTGGCCTCATGTTTGCCTCGAAGAACTGACAACCTTCTCGGTGGACGCGGCATGCCCGGGGTGCTGTGGGTGTGGTGCCAGATTGATTGTCGGGGTGACTCCTGCCAGCACATGGGGTCAGCTTTTCGGCAGTGGTCCTGAATCCTGCCCGTACATGGGAGGGGCGGAAACATGTTGGTCGAGGGTTTGTAGATTTGGAGAGCGGTTTATGCATGGGAGGGCTTAGATCAGGGTCTATTCAAACAGGCGTGGATGTGGGAATGAACGACGGATGGATCCGTAGGTGGATGGATGAATGGATGGATCCACCGATGTCCGTATGGATGGGGTGGATTGGGATGGGTTGGATGAAGTTGGATGGATGGATGGATGGATGTATGTATGCATGGATAGGTGTTGCGCTCCAACCGCTTTCGGGCCTTTCGTTCTCTAATTATTGTTGTTTTGATATTTACATCTATGTAGTCATCTATTCATTGTATTTGTTCAACCCTTGCGAGCCTTCAGGAGTAGGGTGCTATTTTTAGTTTCAGCACGGTCAGCTGTTCGGGAACTACCACCCCAGAATGGTCGATGCCTCTGAAAATTTCTGACGAGCACATGATGCACAAAGCCTTTCAACTCCCGTAGCGAGATGCAAAGGGTCGGGTAGATGGTTGGATAGAGCATTCGTGAGGGCATAATTGGATTTGCTTCGTTTGATGACGGTTCATGCTCGATTTCCCAGCAGGTGTCCATGTTAGAACCCAGAAAAGGGCCACCCTCACCTGAGGTACTGGCTCTTCTTCTGCCACTCACCGAAGTGCTTCCTGGATGTGGTCAGCATCAACCAGATGCTTGGTGGATTTATACGGGTCGTAATGAAACGTTACGAAGCAATCAGGGCCTGTAATCCGTCCATTATGTTCACATCCCAGGATCTTTGCAGCTTCGTGCATGTAACGTTTGACATGGTGCCCAGCTGTGGAACAAGTGTGATGATCCCGGTGGGATGAAGGAACTTTGGGCCTGCTTGCTTGACGGTGTAGAGGATCAGAATTGCGCGGGGAAACGGCTGTACCAATCGAACAGAGACATCAACGGTTGGCTCGGCAACTGGCTTCAAACTATGGGTCCCTATGGGTACGACAGCGCGGAGCACACATTGCAGGGTATAAAGGTTTCTTCCTTGGGACATCTTTATACATAGCGCCAGATCTTGATTGGTTCACAGGCCGTCAGCATGCGCGCTGTGGCGCTGGCACACTGCTGGGTTGCCCCTGATTGAAAACGTAGCGAAGTGACATGAACCGACGGAATATTGACGAGGGAATCTTACGTTTTACGATCTATGATGCCAAGGCATTTAAATCCTACACGGCCGGTGGACACGTCCTGCACTCCTACGTCGGGCCGCTGTAGCATGCGATCTTTCGGGGCAGTGGGGCTACCAAGAAAGGCTGGGTGGGTGTGCTAAAGCAGTGACAGGACCTGTGCTGGCTCTCCATGCTTTGGAAGCGACAGCCCAGCCCAAGTCGACAAAAACGAAGCTTGCACTCCCTGCACCCTCAGGCACCCTTAAGGCCCCCAAGACAATCGACATGAAGCTCCCGAAATCTTTGAAAGCCCAAGACAAGCCCGAACAACCCCCTGGAAGCTTCCACACTGATTGGAAAACCACACTCAGGGTGGAACCGGATCTCATGGAGCGGGGCATCTACGGCCTAGGTGGCTTTCTGTCCCTGGGCAGAGAAGCTTGTGGGTGTCTCAGAAATCTGGGTGCAGGGTTCACCAAAGGTTCTGCAGGGATATCCAAGAGCACAGAAGCGCTTGGGGTTCAAGCAGTTGCAATCATTTGTGGGTGTCGAGAGTTTCTTCTTGGGGACCTTGACTTTATTCTCGCCCTTTTGTCGCGAGAGCTCCTCGTCAGGGTCACTTTGCTGGGATTCCACACTTTATATTTTACAGGTTCGGCCGGGAGCTAATGCAAGCTGCATGCACAAAATCGTTAACCCCATTTCCGTTAATGATCCCTCATGCAACCCGCCTGGGCCCCCCATTTTGTGTTTTGCGCCCAGAGCGCCCTGTGGACCAGCAGCTAGTGTTTAGGAAGGGCTACAACATAAGTTGCAGCACGATTGCTCATACGATCTGTAAGCAGAGCCTTCAGACGAGGGAGAGAGAGAATGGAAAGCCCAAAAATCGTGTTACAAGATGCCCGGGCCATGCCCTGCAGCACGCTCCACATCTGTAACCCGCAAGGAGTATTTCGAACCAGCTGCGTGTGTTGCGACTCGGCAGGACCATGACCTTGCAGTCGGGAGGTACACATGCCTCCTCTAGTAGTCAACTCTCTCACCACTATAAAAAAGGAAAGAAGGAATCAGCATAAAGACGGAACCAAAGAAGTAAAGACAGAACAACAAAGAACAACTCGCAGCAAGCTCTTGGGTAAATCCCATTTGCGGGGTCCTGTTTTTCGTCAAGCTATCGGGGAACTGAGACTTGCAGGATCGAGTGATTCTTCTGCTTTATAGTAGTTTCAAGGTTCAACTATTGCAGTCCCTGCTCAAAAAAAAACTTGACACAAAGCAACCTGCCAATGAGATTTGTCCCAAGGGCTGGGAATTGCCCACTAGTTTGACGAAACCGAGATCCTGCGAAATACTGTAGCAATTCCCCAGTATTTTGATGCGAACCAGTAATTAAACTCTAGTTTGAGTTTTGCTGACCCGGGCCCCTTTTGCAAGTTGGGTAGCCTGCGCGCTAGGCACAGTCCCTCATGAAGTAGGGTTCTTGCAATCGTGTTTCCCTTGCAGTTTGTAAAGAAATCTTAAAACTACCTGTGCCCCCACACCTTTTATTGCCACTTAATCTGCGGGGTTTCCTTAGCGCCGTTTATGGTCCGGGTCTTCCGGGTGGGCTTCAGTCGCCAACCAGCCAGACTACTGCCTCCATGCCTAGTTGCCGTTCAATAGTCGAACAAGGCGTGAGTCCTTGCTCGTTCCGAATGTTGTTGTGCACCGGCCGACAGCAGCCGCACTCCTTGCACTCCCTTGCAGCCACCTGGCCTTGGAGACTGACCACGAGCATCGCCTTTTGTTCCGCAGACCTTTGCCAAGAGTCGAGCTTGAGCCTCCTCCCTTGTCATGTTAAACTTAGACCCACATTGCTCTCAGTTCAACCAAGATCATCCTTCAGAACTTCTAACCTCTTGGTCCATCATGAAACGCTGTAAACCGTTACACATGGATTCATGCGCCCCCGATTTTGATGCACTGGGAGCGGGTCATCGAAGCCGTCCTGAACTTTGACAATGTCGTGCAACTTCTATTTTCTATTCAAACTCTGCATCCTCCCTCGACTTTTCTGCGCGTGCACTGCGCGCACTTTGAGACCTACGTCGTCGGACGCTGCAGGGGCACAAGAGCTCCTTGTGCGGAAAGCGGACAGCTCAAGCATGTTGGAGGAATGCAATTCCTACTACCGAATCTCCATGTGGCCCATATCGTCCTCACAGAGTCCGCAGTGCACATAACAGCCAAGGTGGTCGCCACCATACTTGCTTTGCTCTCAGATTATCTCAGACGACTCGGATTGCTTTTGCGGCTCACGTGACTAGCAGACCATGCAAACCTGTGGTTGGATTAAGCTGGTTGGGTTGCACTCGTGGGGCATCATGACTACGTACACCTCGTTATTGCATCAACGCCTGCCTTTTGAGTGCCCGGAAGCTGAGCTGATGGATTCCTTTCAGACTTTGCATGCCGTAAGTACTGAGTCACTACTGTAACAATCCGTCGGATGTCCGGAAGCTTCACCCACAGGCCTGGAGGTGGCCCATTTCTTGTGCCCATGAGCCTAAACCGTAAAATGCAACATACAGACCCAAGCACGCAAAGAGATCAGTCCCCCCAGTCATCCCCAGTCGATACCGTAAGCGAAAAGTCTGCCGTCCGAACATCATGATGCGTATATCATCTCTCTTTTGATCTAAACAAGCGCCAGATTCCCAAACGCTGTGTTTAAGGGCTTAAACTATATGTCAACACTAAGCACACTATACACCCAAAGGTTGCAGCCCTTCAATATCGCCATCGCAGCGCTCAAAGGCAGCGTGCAGCGTGGTGCGTAGTG